TTATTTGTCGACTGAATTAGTAATCAATTTTCTCCTGAACATTTTTTAACTTCATTTGTTCGACTTCAGAAAATACTTCTGATAATTTCCCTCTGACATTTCTAATTTGGAAGATTAATCATCATAATCATTATGTTCTTTACACCTCCATAAACACCAACAAGAGTTCTTTGTTTATAACTCAGGCAGCTTATGAATATAAGAAATCAAGTTTAGAAGATAGTTGATTCATTCAAGGCTGGTGCAATACGAGAAAAGACAATGCAGTGCTTTATTCACATAGATTAAATTATATTATAATAATTATTTTACCTTACAGTAGTTTTGTTTCTTAAAAATTTGTTTTCTAGTAGTACCAAGATGGTAATGTTACTTTGTGAATCAGGGAGCTAAATAAAGCAGAAGTATTCTGTTAGCTCAGTACATTTTATGTTGCAGATGGCATTAAGTTAATAAAGAAAGAAAAGAAAAAGCAAAAAATAAAATAAAATGATTAGTGAGGGAAAAGCAGCTTAAAAAAAAGACATACTACAAATTATTCATAATTGTAATAAGAAATACTTGTTGGGAAAGTAAAACTATTGCTCAGAAATAAAATTACAGCTTCTCTGAAAAAAAAATTTACAAACTTAGGTGGAAGTGAAAACTTCTTTATTATCATTATAACGGACATTTTGTACTTAAAGCATACCTCGGTTTATTCTTCCTCTAGTTGAGCCAGTCTTTGTACTTTTGGGGGCTTCAGTCCTATGCATGTTACAGTCGTAGGTTTTTTGGCCAACTATGATACATACAGTAACTAGTGGGGATAGGGTGGCCTTGCTACACGGGTATGTTTTGTCTTCTTTTCAGCGAATCTGACCGAAATGCCATTGACATGCCGATTTATAAGGTTCAAGCCACTGCTTTACAAACCTGATAGTGCAGCGTCCTCGGATCACCGCTTCAACCATTCAAAAATCGTCTCATTTTTAGCCTTAGTGCACAAGCTTTTTTATAAACAAAACTTAGTTGCAATGGAGCTGCCAGTGAAAAACTATCACAAGTGTCAAACTAGTGCATACGAGTCTAATACTTAAAAATCATTACATTCCATACTCAACTATTTTTTCAGTTTGTTGAAGGTCCCAATTTGTCACTGGCATACCTTTCAGCATTAAAAGTATCAGAAAAGAAAAAAATCATACTCATTGGAAAAAATTAATCTTTATATTTTTATGATGTCAAATAGAATAGATTTCAAGTGAATCCTTGAGCCACTGGCATTATAAAGACAAGAAATAAAGGAAACAGAAAAGCTTATTGTTTTATCTACAAAAAAAATTTAATGGTCTATTTTTCACCAAGATTTTCTGATAGAAGCTATCAAAAAGGACAAAAAAGTACTATTTTCACTTCTTCCTACAAGAGTGAAAAAGTCGATTTTGACTCCAGTATGTCAAGAGTTAGCTTCTCACATCAACATGACTCAAACTGAAGGAAGAAGTAACAAGAAGAATACAATCAAAAAAATATTTAACCACTAACTTTATTAGTTCATTTTCATTATTAATCAATTATAGAAAATTAATAACATTTACCAGCTTGGATACCCTGTCAGGCAAAGGCTGGAACTACCATGCAAAATCACTCACTTCACTTAAGGTTTAAATTTATGATTAATTTTCAATAATTTACACTACAATTGCATCATGGAATAAAATCTCACATTGAGATTGGTTAACGAAGCAAGCTATTTAGCGTCGAATTGTGAGTTAAAAAAGAGGCTAAGTGATATCATTTCGCATCTACGAAAACATAACAGTTTTAAGAATTGCTGTTTCCTTTTTTTACTCATTTTTATTCAGTTATGCGATTGAAGGAAAACCCATTACTTCACTTGTGAATTCTGCATTAAATTACCCTTGAAAACTGGTATCGCACTCATTGTTTTGCGATTCATGCGATATCGGTTTTTGCATGCAATTTAATGCAGAATTCCCTCATCAAGTAATGAATTTTCCTATGGAATTCAACCTTCCTGCCAGGAAATTTATCTTGCAACAAGTCACCTATGAAAACATTTCAACCTGGGAGAGTTATCAATACAAAGTATAGCACTATATGTCAATGCACATTCCACAATTGTAAATAAACAAGAATACATTTGATATAACAACAATTTCCTGATACTTCAGTAGGAAAATGTATCTAGTATAAGTCTCTTCATGGTAGTCCCCACAGACTGGGAGGTCTGATCAGAAGCCTGGTAACTAAACTTATGAAGATAAGGTTGAATGTCTGGGAAACTCACATCAAAAACATTAGAAACGTCAGACTGATTTGGCATCTTGGGGACATACTCTGGTCTGTTCATCACTCCAGAAATACAAATTATTTTTTCAGCGAGAGCCTCACCAACTTTTTCTCGGCAGATCTGTCGTTCGTGCTCGTTAGCAAGGCTGACGACATTTAATTTTACCGTCCAAATTTCCCACGGAATATTCTCCATTCCAAAAGGCCACCGAGCTTTCTTTCTTTGATAAAACTCTAGAGATATTTGCCCGCTCCTTAGGCCGTCGGGACTTTTCAAAGATTCCCTAAACTCCGCAACTTGTCTTTTTAAGGAACGATGTAAATCATCCGAATCCACCCGAACATAGGTGAAATTCAGAAAGTCGCAGTCAACATCAACCATCCCAACAGTTCCTATGCTATAAGAGCCTTCTCTTTTGTAGTTAAACTTTCCAGACGTCCTATGAAGTAAAATTGAGTGAAATATACTCAAGATTGCCTCTTCGATCTGTCGTCCTTCGACAGATAACTCGAAAACTTGCGATCGCGCATTCATTCTTCCTGAGTCTCTGATGCTTTCGTCTTGACACTGTCTGTTGTTCTCGAAAAGAAAAGTAAGGGAGATACTGGGAACTAAGTTACAAGAAATCTCTTCCCCAGGGTAATCCGCGTATTGGGAATGAGGCTAGTGTTCTTGAATCCGCGATCCAAGATGGCTGGCCTTGTGAGAAAGTCCATTGACTGGTTTAAAATTGCTTGGGCAAGGGAGCCCGTACTATTTATGTCATGTGTTTTTGGAATATCAGGTAGCTTAGTTGTTTATCACTGCATAGAGAATGCCTATTAGTCGATTAATGTATTTAAACAGGTTTAAATATCGGTCTGCCGACTGAGCTATCCTGAAACTTTCAGAAAACAGCCAATATTAGTTGTATCAGTAGAAAATTGTACTATTACGAAATGGAAAATGGAGTGCAGTTAATTTAAGCTCTATTGAAAGATACTTCAATATCGTCCAGACTTATCCATGCATATGTGCGTTTTTAATTTACAAAGTTGGTGGTTGGCTACGTGAAAGATCTAGAGCATTTAAGCAAGCATTCCTACCAAAGTTTTGTTTACTTCATTTGAGATACTTGGATATCATTACAATTTGGGCCTTTCGGTTATATTTTCAATTCTAAAAATTTGTAACTGCAAATTCCATGCTCTGTTAAAACTGTGAAAAGTTTTGCTTTTAATCACCGAATCTTATTATCCCCTGCCAATCTAGTTTTCATCCTGGTTTTTTATCATAAATGTAATCATTTAGAACTCTGATGCAGCGCTTGAACGTACCTTCCATTTCCTCTAGGTCCAATATTTGCACTGGTCAGTCCTTGGACAAAGGATACAGTTGCGACAATGAAATCAATACCCCATGTTTACCCATGTAAGTTAGTTTATTGGTCAGTTTTTAAAATTAGTGTTACACCATTTCACACTTCCACTTCCTGTAGCACCAAGATTTCACTTTCAGGTGCTAATTTTGTTTGCATGCAGCTGGGGAAATAATGTGGCTCATTAATTAAGTAAATTTGGTTTCTTAAGATATGGCATTGAACTCATAATATTTTGTGGCACTGAAAGATGGGAGCTTGATATCTGTTTTAGTTTATGTTTTTTTTTTCAAAGATCCTCAGTTGGAAGATCAAGATTTGAGTGATGTTGACAGCCATGGAGATAATATTTTCAAGGTTAAATATCTTTTTTGACAGCCCACCTGTTCTGAGCAGAGAAATCTGTTAATTTTTTTCAACTTGTACAAAGATGGTCATTCATGTTTGATAATTTCCTGCGATTGAGACATGGTAGAAAAGCTTGTTAAGGCAGATTTAAGATTTGATCAGTTAAATGTAAACATATTCCCCATTGTGTGAATGTTTGTTAATTACAAGCCACTTCAAATAAAGTCAAACCTCAGTGTTGGCAACATTATTGTTGAGCTTCTTTCTCCATGTATGAGGTGGAAAAGGCAACCAGTTGGACTGTGGGGAGGAGTCCTGGTCTGTCATAGCAAAGGTTGTACTGCCTGATTTTGCAATTATGTATTAGATGGTGGGTAATTAACCCTGAACCTTAGAGAATCAAGCAAGTTTGCTCAGTGCCAGGTGCTATTTTAGGACAAACCAAAGAGTCTGGTAATGATGGGGGGCACTTCTATCATTGTCACCAAGAGCACCCTTCCCTTCCCCCCTTCCCCAAGAAAAAATTCCCGGCTCAGGGCAATTTAGAAACCAATGCTGAAACAAAATTCAGCATTTCAATTTATTTGTGTTTCTATGCTGTGAAAATCTACACCACTCTCAACTT